GCCCTTGCTGAAGACACTGCCCAATTATTACAGAGTAGACAGTAACCAGCGGGAAATGCACAGGGGGGACTTTCACTTATCGCGGCAGAGAAAATCCCGACAAAGATATATGGAAATGAATCAATTCTGCATCCTTGGGACAGAAATGAGACCAGTTTTGCAACAAGAACGTGGTGAAGAAGGTTGGTCACAGAGAAGCTGGAAGACCAGAGATCCTGCCCTCCTGCACCCAAGATGAGTGGGGGACTCTGGACAGTCATCACTTGCAGACCTCCAATTCCTCAATTATCAAATTAGAAACAGGTTCTAGCAGAGGGCTTTTAAAGCCAATCTCAAACGGTCACACACTGTGATTCAATTTACACAGCATTCTTGAAATGACAAAATCACAAAGTTGAAGCACAGATCAGCGCTTGCCAGGTATGGCTGGGTGACGATGAGTGAAAAAGGCAGCGAAGGCGCAGTTCTGCCTCCTGCTGGCAAGCTGCTGACTCCAGTCTACCTGTGGACAAGAGACTCGGAGGCACAGGATGGGCGCACTCACACACTTGACTTTGGGTCGTAGTTGTTCGAAAGGAAGCATGGAGGGGAAGTCAGTGGAGGGCATGAGGGACTTCTCTATGCTAACTTGGCACTTCCTGTGAATCCACAACTTCAGAACACAAAGGTTTATTTTTCAAGGGTTTGCTTTGAAATATTTCATCTACTAAATTATATCTTAAGATAAATCTTTTACCCACACTTATCAGGCAAATATATAAGGTATATATATAACTACCTTACTTTCCAACTGATACAAAAATATAATTTCTAGATGGATCAAAGATATTGGTAAAAAAAAAGATAGTGGTAAAATGAAAGCATACAAGTAATAGGAGAATACACACTGTAGATGTTCATTTCTATCATTTTGTGGTATGGGGAAAGTTTTCTAAAATATCATAAAAAGACCAAGAAATTTTAAATACCAGCAAGAGAAAAAATCAATGCTACAAATGAAATTAAAGAGCAATAACAAACTGTGGAAATCAGCATATATGACAATCCAAAGGCATGATAAAGGACATGAATGGGTAAGGCCCCCAGTCACATACAGAACAGAGATAGCTAAAAATCACATACAGAGATAATCCACTGGTGACCAAAGAGCTGCAAATTAAAGCAATTTTTTTTTGGGGGGGTACCGGGGATTGAACTCAGGTCCTTGCACTTGCGCAGCATGCAGTGAAACCACTGAGCTAAATCTCCAGCCCTAATTAAAGCAATTTTAACAACTCCTTCCAGGAGAGACTGGCAAGGACAAAGACCGAGACCACCCAGGGTAGAGAGGATGAAGATGTTATGAGGATGTAGATGGTGATGGTAATGGAGAAATAATTGATGCCTGCTTTCTCGGGGTGCCCTGAGTATGTGTCCATGTGTAAAACACGCCCCATTCACTCAGCTATCACTGTACTAGGCATTTACCCAAGATAACAATGGCATGAGTACAAAACACATAATGAAAATAAATATGCCTGCTGAAGATGACCCACCTCAGTAGCATTTATCTTATCAGGCAGAAAAATGTAAAGCAATCATAAGTGTGCATCAACTGGAGACCAGTGATAAATCTGTGGTCCACATCCACAATTCTGTGTGGCCTATAAAAATGACAACATTTGACTCTATCAGTTGGTTTTGGCCAGGACATGTAGCAAAGCAGTCAAAAGCACAGTTCCTGAGCCAGACTGCCTGGTCCACGACCAACCCCATCACAAAGAGACTGTGTGCTGGAAGCAAACTGCTGAGCCTCTCTGAACCTCTGTTTCTTCTGTACTAATGATTGACAATGCCTACACCTCTTCACGTTGCCATGAGAACTGAAAGAACCACTAGCTGTGAAACATGGAGGACAGCCTCTGCAACCTGAAACATGCTAGAAGATAGCTTGTTAAATTAAAAATTCTGTCATTAAAAACTTGTCTGCCACATGGAGTGAGAGAAGACCACAGAGCACACGATGACCCATCGAGAAGCAGAGGAAGACTGCTTCTCTTCAGACAGTGTAACCCATGTCGTGACTAGGCAGTGAGAGTGTGGGTTATTTTTGCTTTCTTCTTAGAGTTTTCTGTATCATTATAAAAGAAAATAAAAATTATCATAGCCAGTGGGCACTCTGAGGCACTTTTGCAACGTGAGCTTGTGGAAGCTTTCTGGGGAGAACTTGAGTGGTATGCTCTACACTTTCTACCCTGGTCTCTCGACTTGTAGGAATTTATCCTGTGAAAATGATACAAGTCTACAAGTATCTATTTGCATGAACACACATGTACTCATATATATATATATATATAGATAGATAGATAGATAGATAGATAAAGGAATATTTACTAAATTGACATTTACAACAGCAAAATTGACAATGATCTGAGTTTTCATTGAACGCACCATGCTTGGCAGCAATCACACAGCACAAGATCGCGACAAGATCGCGACACAGGGCCGTTTGTCAAGGTCACTCTGGAGAGGACAAAGGCTTCACATTTCCCTGTGAAAGGGAGACTGAAGGACTGTGATGTAGAAAGAGGATCCTGAGGCCAGGCAGACAAGAACATCCACACAACTGATGAACGTCTCATACTGCCCCAAAGTCAGACTCAGGCCTGAGGTTGGGGGAAGCAAAAGCAGGAATGGTTGGTGTTGGAAGAGTGGAACTCCTGATGTTTACCATGCTATGCAGGAAGTGTAGGAATGGATCAGGAGACAACAGGAGAAAAGCGGAAGGCACAGGAACAACACAGACCCCAAAAGGCAGCAACAGATGGTCAGAGGATGGTTAGAGAGCTGGATGCTCAGAAGAAAACACCAACAGAGCTGCTCTGGTGGCCAGACCCAGCTCTTCTCATTGAAACATGACCAGTATTAGGCAGCTCTGCCAAGAGGAAATGGGAGGCAGAGCACGTGTGTGAGAGAAGGGGAGAGATATATCCCATAACCCATGCCCAGTGAGTCACAAAGCCATGGAAACCACAGCTTCAGGTTCAGATCCCAACACCATCTGTCTTGGTTACTTCTCTTGTTGCTGAGAAAAAATATGCAACACCCAAAGTTATAGGAGGAAAGGTTTATTTAGCTCACAATTTGTAGAGGTTTCAGTCATAACTGGCTGGCTCCAAGGCAGGTGGCTTGGCAGAGGAGAAACAGTTCATGATGGGCAGAAGGTAGTAAAGCAAGCAAGAGAACGACTGCAACTCTTTCTACCCCTTATATCTTACCCAGGCTACTTAGGATGAAGAGCACTCACATCCTTAATCCTAGCTCCCTTGATCCTAGCATTGCACCATGAATCAATCACACATTCTAGATCCAGCCACCTCTGAAAAAGCCCCACCTATGATCTCAAGAGGCTTTGGGGGTACTTCTAGACACAAGCCGTAATACCATTTTTCTGAAACTATCTTTATTGGCCAAAAGGACTTTAAGTTCTGAAACAAGTTGCAGACCCATCTGAAATCCTGTGCTGCTTGCCTACACCTCTCCCACAGCCACTGCTTAGACTCCACCTTGAGACAGCTGCCACTGCAATGTGTGTCAGGACGCCGGTCTGTGACTTGCACTAGCCCAGCACAGTGATGTTTAATGTGATTACCATGGGATTTCTTCAGGAGAAGAAGCACCATCTTTTATTCCTGTACAACTTGTACAAATGGTAGCAATGAGCCCTGGCCACCAACCTAGATGTCTGATAAATATTAGCTGATTTATTACTCAACAATTTATCTAATTTGTGGTAAGGTTTTGCACACCAAGGGTCTAGCTTCAATAGGGACGGATTTATACTAAAAGAATTTAAGAACAAGGGTTCAGAGCAGGATACCTTGAGTCCAAAGCCCAGCTCCCCTTACTGACTAATGGAGCCCAAAATACTTAATCTCAGTATCCAACCAGCTTTAAAGCAGGAAGAACAACAATAGTGTTATACCATATGGCTATTTACCTAGACGGCAGGCACTGTTCTAAGCTCTTTACAAGCACTATCTCATTTAATATTCAAGGCAACCATATGAGATAGTACTGCTTCTAGTACCATGTTATAAAGAGGAAACTGAGGAAGAGGAAGTTAGTAAGTGTGGAACAGATTCAAACCCCAACAGCCATATTCCAGTTCTGTGCTCTGGATCAGAACAGCCTTCCATACAGCACACCAAGCACAGTACAGACCACTGGGCACTTTCTCAGCACAGTTGGTGCCTGAATTCTTGAAAATGGAGCAGCACCAACAGCAGCAATCTAACTGGACCAGAGGCCCTTGCTCTCCACTGCAGCTTTGTGATCCTGATGTTCCCAAAGGGGCTGCCTGCAGACAAGCTGTGAAAACAAGGCTCCACTCCCTGTTCTCGGTTCTCTCTCTCCTAACATCTTGAGAAGCTGCTTCAGCGCTGAACTTTGACCAGAAACTTAGAGCATGCACTGGCATTCTTTATTTTATTTCAGAACAGCCTCCAAAATCTAGTTCTCAGCCACCGTGGTCGTCAAAGTCCTTTGCTGGGGACTGGGATAGCCTAATCGCAGTGCACTGCTCACACAGCCCTGGCCAACCACTAGGAGGGCCTCCCACCTAATCCAAGTGCCACTCAAACTGTGGCACCAAGGTCACTGGCTTCTGATAAGAGCACTTTCTTCTAATGACAATTTGCTATCCTTTAACACGCTGCATTTTCAAACTCCATCTCATCCCCTAGAACATAAGCCACCACGGCAGAGACTGGGTTTTCTCTCTCTGCAGCCCCAAAGCACTCATCAAAGCACCCATGGCCCTGTACGCTGGGCTTCAGCCACCAAGTGAAAGGTTAAACAGGGGAACAGTCAGTAATAATTACAAAGATAAACTGTTTTCCAGGTGGAGAAGACCAGCAGAAATACAGTATTTCCAACTTGTAACCAAACTAAAAACCAGGCATTAGCAGTTACCACTGTTTGTAAGAACCTGACATGGTCGGCCCTTGAGCAGCCTTTACCTGCTTCTCCTTCCTCCTCACCCAAATTCAGCACGATGATGCAGATGTGCTTCCGCAGCTGGCGTGTGTTGGAGAACTTCCGACAGCACTTGCTGCACTCCAGGCTGCTGGGGGTCAGGCCACTCCCTTCCTCTGGGGCCAGCTGGCCATCCCCGTTTGGACTCACAGTGTTTTCTGCCAGGTCCTCTTCTGCACTTGGCTTTTTTGTGGACCCCTTAGGTCTGCCTCTCTTCCTCTTCATGACCGAAAACTCTAAGGAAAACAAGAGGGAAGTTGGAGTCACACAAGATGGCAGGGCAGAGGAGTCACTGAACTTCCAAGTGTGAGAACTGTGCAGGTCGCACACTTGATTAAAAATGAAAGATCTGAAGCAGCTGTAAATAACATTTTCTATGTTAATATCACATCTGTACACTGACTGGGAGTTGATTTTGTTGTACTCTGCATCAAGACTATCAGCTGACCAGAACCTTCACATAGGCTCCTTCTGTGAAGCCGGGAGGGTTGAAGGTACAGCCACCAGTCCACAGGTCCTGCCCTCATTAACTATTCCCATCAAAGTCCAGTTCTCAGAAACAGCTTCTGGACTTGTCTGCAAAGGGCTCTCAAAGGCTTTGAGCCTGTCATTTTCTTAACAAGTATATAACTATTCAGATTATTTCAAGGTGTCAAACTGTCCTGGTGAGGAAAATAATTGCAATCTAAAGCTACAAATTATAGGTTGAAAGACAATAACAATATTTTTCAGGTTTCTTAGTGACCTAGGGATTTTAAATGATACGTCAAAGCTGCTTGCGAGCAGGTTCCACATCATTTTACACCATGCATTTCTTCTTAAATAGTGTTCATCTTTAAGGCATTCGCCTTTAAAATGAAGGAGGGAAAGCAGAGGGGTGAATGGTGTCGGGGCAGACCAGCATGTACAGTCATGCAAATGGAGAGCAGTGTGATCTCAGGGGATGGGACCTCCCTGGGAGAGACACCCGGAAGAGGCAAGCAGGAGGCCTCCCAATCTCTGACTGACATTCCCAACAGCAGAACTGCCTGCCAGGCTGAGGCATGGCATATGCACAGCCCTCTTTGAATGTGAACATTCAGGTAAAGGGAGGAGTCCTAGATCCTGGCACCATCTTGGTGAATGTAAACCACAAAATGAGGACCTCTTTCAGGGCCCTCCTGCTCTCTCTTTTGTGTGGCTTGGTACAGTAAAACACAGCCACTTTACTCACTGTTACACATCAGTGATCCTTTAATTAAGAGGGCGTCCTATGCCTACCAGTCAAGAAGCCATAGAGACTCAGTCAGCAGGACGAGCAGCAGGACCACGGGTGCTCTGAATAAGGGTTCCTGCCTGGGAACAGGGCCTAGAGAATGCTGGGAGACTGCAGAATGAGGCAGTGATTTCCTGGGACAGGGGCATCCTTGCAGGACCAGAGCTTCCACAGCTGGGATGCCAAGGGTGGGTCAGACCACCTTTGGATCCACCTAAGGATTGAAGCCAAAGACAGGGCAGCCAGCACACTTACAGCCTTCAGGCCATCTCACTGGGGTACGCTAGACAGGGGAAAATAGGGAAGGGAGAGGGCTTTAAAGAACTGAAAACACATCAAGAGACCAGATAATACAACAGACTCAAGCCCATCAGATCCCTTTGCCAGCATGGACTTCACCAGGACAAACGCTCTTTCCAGGAGGATCAGCCCCTGTACATGGGAGAGTGAGGGAGAAGAAGAAATGTCCTAACAGAATACAGACAAACCATTTACCTCAAAGCTCATTAAAACTTTTCCTATTAATATTCTTTATAACAATATGTACAACCTACTGAAGCAGCAATTAATAGCAGCACAACAGAACCAGCAGGCCATGAAACACCTACTTCATGTCATGTCAGCCCAACTGTAGAAACATGGAGAACAACAGTTATTGAAGTTGGGGCCCAGTTCTATATCCCAGTGGCAAATGTTGGCATTCTGCCATGTAGATGGAGTTGCTACTCTGAAAAGCTCACAGGATGCAGCTGTGTAGTGAAGAATTAACCTGATCCCAAGAGAGGTCTGCCCTTCCCCTGGGTGACTGAGAGGTGATCTCCAAACCCCCAGATGTCCCCCAGCAGGAGTGCCTGTATCTGCCTGTCGCCTTTGGCCCTTGGATGACTTATTATCTGGGCTTTGGAACATGGCACATCAGCTCTGCCCTCTAGAGGAACTGGAGAACGGAAGGTGCGGTCAGAACCTCAAAGTGGATTAGAACACTCTACCATGTGGACAGTGTGTCATGGAGCCCTACAAAAACTGCACAGCCGTGACTTGAATGGGACTCCTGGCAGGACGTGCTCTTGATACTGTCTTACACTGAAGACAGGAGGGGATGATGGTATCCAGGACTCATAGGGCCGGGGGACAAAAAGCTCCACTGGGACCTTTCCAAGTCCTAGTCCATAATTTGCAATTGTAGAACTTTCCTAAGTTTGGCGAGTTCTTCTAGAAAATTATCGAGCCTGAAGGAGACTACAAGGCTCTCCAAATCTGTAGCTAGCTGGCCAGAGAGGGTGACCCCTGGGGCCCCTTGAGTTTGTGGCTGGTGTCAGAAGCATTGGGTAGACTCGGCAGTCCTGTGGAGAACTGTGCCCCTAACCCTGAGTTCAGCAAATCCAACATGGCAGCACCCATGTTTTTCCCACAGGGACAGGCCAGAGCACAGAGTCAGCAATCGCAGTGCCCACTGGGTGGACAGCATGCTGGCCACACAGTGGGAGCAGGGCACAGAATGCCACATGGCTCAGTAGTGAGAGTCTCTTCCCAGACTGGAACCTCCTTGAAGCCAGGGTCCCTGTCCTGACTAGGTGTTATCCTCGCCTCAGCACTAATCTGGTGTCCTGGCCAACGTACCCACGTTAATTAAAATGGCAAGCAATGGGCAAGGCAGTTGTCATGGAAGAAACATGAAATCAGCCCTGAAAGTTCTGGGAAAACCTCAGACACAACAGTGACAGGACTAATCTTCCATCTTGCTACATCCATAATTCAGATCCTCAAGGCCAATTAGTTAGCTAAAAATGAAATATTCATAAATGAACTTGGAATAATTTCAGGAATGAAAACGAGTTGCTGCTGTCAACTACCTGCACGTTATCAACGAGCTGAGAATCTTGGGACTGGGCAAGGAAAGGCGCAGCCTCTCTATCAAAACACCTGAACAGACATGCGTGTGAGCCTCTTCCTCCTCCCGAGGTCCTCACACTGTCGGTGGGCTCGGAGATGCTGTCTTACACACGTCTGTGCAGGAACTCCCCTGCCCATTCTCAGGACAGCTCTGCACCCCATGCTGCACATGGTCTCCAGGATCCAGCTTTCTGTTTTGGGTCTCTCTGCTTCCAGCCCATATCTCACCATCACTCCCTGGCTCTAGAAACTTCCAAAGTTCTGGACGACTTTGCCCACAACTCTCTGACCTGGCTTTCAGTGTCCTTTAGCACATGCCCCAACCCTACAAGCACCCACTCCTACACACACACAGTACCCCACCTTCCCCTCTTGTCTCCCACTCAACCACTCAGTGCAGTTTCTAGCCGGGTCTGCCCAGGCAGGGATAATCCCTGTCTCTTTATTCACCTATTCTGGTCCCCTTGCCTGTGCCTGCCACCTTCACTCCCAGCCCAACTCACACGCTGACATATCAGATCCAGGTCAAAGCCTCAGCACCTCCTCCAGGAGGCTGCCCCAGCTACTGAACCAGGAGAGGCCATCTGCTCACCAGACCCGGGCCACAGTGTGAACCACGCTCACGTGGAGTGTGTACACTCCCAGTTTTCTGTTTCTTTTTCTTTCCTTTCAATTATAAGTTTGAGGTTTGAACTGGCCCTTTAATTGCCAGGTTCCAGGGTCGTAAGCAAAGCTGGATATGGAGTAGACAATAAATTAATTCTTGATGACAGGAAAGGAGATAGCTGGAAAATCATTTCTTGAGTTGCAATTTGGTGCATTTTAACCCTGCTTTAAAGCTAAAGTTTGGGGACAATTTTCTCTTAGAAAATCATCCTTGCAGATCCAAGGCCAAAAGCTTGCCAGGGAAAGAAAGAATCAGGCGAAGGTTCTTAAATTCAATCAAAAGACAATACAAGCATTATGAAACAATAGGGCAATATGATAAAAAAATCTAATAATGCAAGACCTTCATTTTTGCATCACTCAAGTTTCCAAAACACCTTCCCAGCTATTATCTCATTTTTCCTTATAAAAGCCTCACAAGATGAGTTCAGCAAACATAATTTCATCAAAAGGAAAGGGAACAAGAGAAGCAAAAGTCCAAGTGGCTTGGCAGACTTTTCAGAACCAACTGCTGAATGAGCAGAACTGGGATTTGGGTTTTCTTATTCCCAATCTAAAACTTTTCTGCTGAATCACACACCTCAGGTATCTGGAATGAAGGTCAGATCTGCCCAATTTAACGGAGCCAATATGAGCCATGCAGAGTCCACTGGCTTGCAGTTGAGCAGATGGGATTCAAATCTGCCCCGAGCCTCATTTTCCAATGTGAAAAATAAAACACCGAACTGCCTCTATTTTATAGTCACTGCTAATAAAAGTGATCCACCATAGTACAGAGCACTGTACTTCTGAAGTGACTGATAAAATAGCAATCATTTCTAACATTCCAATTTGGAATACTTCTTTTTTTTAATGAATTTTATTGGTACATTTGAGGTATACAATATGACATTCATCACTGAAAATTTACACCTTTACATAATCTCTCTTGGTTCTTGTTTTTTCCCCATTCCCCTGCCCTCCCTTCAACCCCTCCATCCCTCCCTATCTACAAAGACTTTGTTTCCATTTTTTCTTTTTCTCATATTAATTCCATTCCCTTCTTTCCTTTCCCCTACCCCTCCCATTTCCCCTTCCCCTTGGCCCCTTTTCTTCCTATTTTACATTATCTATTATACATTTTAGTCCTTATTTACACTTTCAGTTTCTCACACTAGAGAAACTATTTGGTATTTACACATGTGTGTCCTATTTATTTCACTTAAGAGTATCACCTCAATGTGCATCCATTTAGCTATAAATGTCTCTAATTTCTCATTTTTTATGGCTGAGTAGTACTCCATTTTATTAAAAAAACACATTTTCTTTATCCAGTCTCCAGTTGATGGGCAATTGGGCTGCTTCCTAGTTTTAGGTATTACAAACTGTGCTGCTATGAACACAGGTTCATATTGGTTGATTCCATGATAGCAGCCATTCTTT